ATCAAGAATGCGCATTTTTCTTCCGCGATTTCACAGGCATGCTCACACTTCCCAGCTGCATTGCAAGAGCCGGCGGCAGCGGCAGTGGACAAGAATGCGGCGATTCGCGAGGAGAGGATTTTGCGCATGGAGGCCTATGTCCGCAAGTAAGCTCCGTTTTTTTTCTAGAATCTGGAGAATGTAGCTAAACGTTTCGTTAGGCATTGGGCCGAGAAAGGATGTCTTCCAAAAGCTTACATCCTGACAAAACAGTTTGGCGGAGCTAGAACAATCGCCCCCAAGGTGCTGGAACGCCTAGAGCCGGAGCTAAATAAGAACGGCGTTCCGGACGCTGCTGCTAGTTCTAAGCCAGCGACGGCTTCCAAGTCATCGCCAGCTTCAACGCAAAAGGCTTCTAGCGACGGTCCAGCCAACATGAGTGTAGCAACTTCGACTTCTCATATTGCGGCTAGTACTCCCTCTCCTGGTTCAAGCACGCCGTTAAGCTCCAAAGCGACGAGTTCAGAAACAGGCGTGAAGGATCAGGGAAAGAAGGAGGTCCAAGCAGCAGCGGAAGTAAAAGAACCGGCCTTCAGTTTGTGGGAGAAGCTCCACAGCATTGCATCGGCGAAAGCGACTCCAACGCGTCCGTCTCAAGCGCCATCGGCTCGGCCTGCTATCACGCCGCCGCCGCCTCCAAGGCAGTCAGCTGCATGTGACTCAACTGAAGAAGACGATAGCGAAAGTGAGAGCAGCGACAGTGAGGTGGATTTGCCGGCGGGGTCCGAGGACAAGAATCCAGCACAACCTTTGTTTCGAAGTGATTTGCAACCGAGGCATGGATTATACATAAAGTTCCTCGCTCCTCAAGCGACAGAGTCGGATGTCAAGGCCGCTTTTCGGAGCTGTGGAGACATTCATAGGATCCAAATCGTTCGAAGTCGAAATCCTGGCGCAAAGTACATCTATGGTTTTGTGGATTTCACGGTAAGTACTATAGAAGCTCCACGCTTTTGTTCTAATCATTCAACTTATTGACAGACTGAAGAGGCACTGAACTCTGCGCTGAAAAAGGAGATCATTATCAGGGGCATCAAAGTTCAAACCGAAACTTCAAAGAACGGAGCTCCGAAAGAGAAACAACAGAAGCAAGAGTCTGACTCGGACGATGACGCTGCAAAGTCGAACAAAAACAAAACAAGCTTAGCAGTTACAAAGACTATGGACGATCTGGCCTTGCCCCCCGAAAAGAGGCGATGCACTCTAGCCCTCGAGAGCATACCGCATGCAAGCCTTCCTCAGATCATCGATGCCTTGGGGCAGTATGGAGAAGTCGTCAACTCACAGACAAAGCATAGCTCTGGCGGAAACACGACTGCGTACGTTGAATTCAAGGTACTTTTGTCTGCCATTCTTTCTATCCGACTTGCTGGAGCCTTACACCTGTTCTTTTCGTTTTTGTTGCAGAGCGAGATAGAAAAGGATACCGCTTTGGCAGCTTCTAAAGTGATCCTTGGTGGGAAATCCCTGAAACTGACCAGAGTCGATATTCCTCTAACGACAGTAGTAAGGCTATCTAATATCCCAGCAGATGCACGTGAAAAGATCGCGAGCAGCTATAAATCTTACGGACAAGTCGACAAGGTTGATCCCCGGATGGATGGCGTCGTGGACATTTATTACAGTGCGTCTGAGATCAAAAACATGGCGAAAATCCTGGACAAGTAAGGCTTTTTCTATTTGTTTGTGCGTGCGTTTGCTTCGATTTGCTAATGTGCGTTGTCTGCTCAGGTTGAACGGATTGCACGTAAGTAGAAGAAAGCTGCGAGCGATGCCTGCTCCAATAAGCTATCCAAAAACAATGGCGGAGCTCGCTGGTACGCCGCAGGGATTGAAGTGGCTCGAGTCGCAAAGGGAGCTCGTGAGGAAGAACTTGGAGATCTCTCTTGCGAAAGCAGCCATGTATAGCCGGGATTTCGAGCAGCTCCTCACGACGACGTCAGTTCCAGCCAAGTAGATCGCCTCCAATTGAGTCAAGGTATAGAAAAACGCTCGAGATTTTTTGTTCTTTCTTCCTCTTTGTCTTGGAAGTTTGCTCGCCATAAATCCGGGCTTGCAGGTAGTGGAGCAAGCAATCAATCGAACGCAGACACTGACCACGAAGTAAATCGAGAAGAGTTTTTTTTTTTTGTCCTTTAAATTGCTCTAAAGTTTTGGCGTCTTTTTAAGCTGCGCATCGAAGAGCTATTAGAAGAGAAGAATGTGATAGCAACCTTTGCAAGATAAATCGTTTTCAAAGGTATGATAGTCGTCGGAACCATATAGTCGTCTTTAAATATGTGGAGGTATCTATCCCATGGTCAGTCCAGTATGTAGTGTACCGCATGAGTTATATCTCGTGGCACTATTCATCTTAGTATTCCTGGTTTTGAGTTATTGGCGGACGTGTACCGGCGGGTACCGACGTTTAGTTTGCTCTGGTTAACATGGTAAAAATAGTTTCAGTTTCTCTTAAGTCGGCCTGGGTAAATGTAGATTTCTTTCTTAAGAATGGGACTGACAAATCTGCCATGGCAGCAGTTCCCACAGGTATGGCTCTACATGACTTTCAAATTTCCAAGGATTAGTCTTAAGCAATCATATTTGATTAGTTGTTTGAAGAACAATATAGTTGCGGTGCAGCTAGAAAGCGACTGATTTTGATTTTGGATCCTAAGCATGGGGCGTTCGTATAATACAGGATCGTTTACGGTCTACGATACGGCGTTTCTGGCGGTCACGGGCCCTGTGCATAGCTATGCCTGGTGGGGAATTAGTTTTCTAGGTAGAGTAGGGTTTGGACCGATCGACCCTGCGCATCTTCGGCATTTCGAGCGCGAATGGGATCGGTGGATGGAGATTATTGTGTAGAATCGAAGAAATCGGCAGTGGCGGGGGGAGGATCGAGCGCCACGGCCACGGCGGCGGCGAGCAGAGGCGCGCGGCGGAGCCTGGCCAAGGATCTCAAGGATCAAGAGCCCTACTCCCCGCGGCTCTTCACCAAGAAGCAGCTGCTCCTCCTCCAGCAGCAGCGGCAGTACCAGTTCTTGGAAGATCATCATCGCCAGCAGCATTCCCAGCAGCAGCAGCAAGCGCCAGTCAATCTTCTCAACTCGAGAAGGGTTTATCCCTCTTCCTCCTCCTCCAGGCAGCTCCTCCTGCGCAATGCGGCGGATTTCGACAGCTCCAGCCATGGATCACCGCTCGTTCTTCCCCGCAAGGTCCCCAAGAAGATGGTCGTGGATGAGAAGCAGCTGGCCATGAAGCTCCTCCGGGCAAGGAATCTCGTCTCTTGCTCCTCCACCTCTTCCTCTTCTTCCTCGTCGGAGAATGCATCGCTCAGGGCATCGGCCGAGGGTGGGGATATTTTGCCCAGATCCTCGCTCGATATTCCGAGGAGGAGCTTGCTATCGGGCTATGGCGGCGCTAGAAGCCAGCAGATTCACTCCCTCGTCCGCCAAAAATCAGTGTCCTCCAGTAGCAGCAGCCTAGAGAACGCCGGCGCCGAGGAGAAGATCAAGGCATTGTCGAGCGGGACGATGGTGATGTCTTGCTCGGGGCGGAGCTCCGACGCCGAGGAGAGCACCAGTGGCAGCAGCGTGGTGAGGATGATCATGGGAAGAAATGGAAATGGTGGATATGCGAGGAGAGCGCACCACCACATCCCCCCTACTGCTCCTCCAGCGCCACCTCCAGTGGCTCCAATGCTCTTGCGATCGGCGTCGTGTTCTTCCGCGATGTCGAGCTCTTCCAGCTTGAGCAAACTGGTAAGGTTGAAAGCCGCGGATATGGGCGTGACGATGCAAGAGCACGCCTTCTACTGCGCGAACCAGGTGCTGGACGCCATGGACAAGCTGCATTGTAAGAGAGTGGCTTGGACGCTCAAGAAGGTATGCTCTTTTTCTTTATGTTCTTCGTGTGTTCTTCCCATTCTCGAGTCAGTGCGTGGATTAGTTCTTAAGAGTTGTTTGCATCATGTCGACTGCATTTTTTTTTCCTCGCTCTCTGTTGTGCTCTCTGGCATTGTTCTTCATTCAAACGATCGCCTTCTTGTGCGATTCTTTGACGTTTTCTTTTCCCTTCTTTTCTTTTGTGTTCCAGAGTTTTTGGCTGCTTTCGATTGCACTTTGGTATTCTCGCTCCATTGTTTATTTCTCTCCAGATTCTCAGTCTTGCGATCATCAGTCGTGTTTAATTACTGGGCTCTCTCTCTCTCTCTCTCTATCGGCGTGTGCGTGTTCATGCGATTCCTTTTTCCTCGGTTGTTTAATGTTTCTGGTCAGATCTTTCTTTTTTCTCGAGTCTTCGCTCATCGCTTCCCAGTCAAACTTATGCTTTTGCTTTTGTTTTCTTGGTAGGAATTTGACAAGGCATACGGGCCAGCATGGCACTGCATTGTGGGGACGAGCTTTGGATCTTATGTGACACACTCGGTCGGTGGCTTCCTCTACTTTTCTATTGGCAAAGTTTCTGTTCTACTTTTCCAAACGGCCGTGGAACTGATAGAACATCACTGAAGAAGAAGAAGAAAACAGCTCACTCACTCGTTTCCAACAACACCAAGGCAAAAGATAAAAGAAAGGATTTGTTTGAGGACAGATTCAGATCATCGCAGGCTTTAACTTTTGCTTCGACTCTTTTTGTTCCAGAGGTTGAAGTTTGAGGCCTGGATCTGGACGTGATCTGGATCGAGAGAGCGAGCGAGCGAGTGTGGTTTGTTCGTTTCTTTTTCCTAGCTAGGATTGATTGATCTAATCTTGTGTTGGTTCATAGTTTCAGGAAAGCTGTAACCTAAGAATGTACAGGAAAGAACAGACCCAAGACTTTCGTGTCACATCCTCTCTCGTGTCAACATTGGTTGCAATTTCGACGTCCAACATATCTTGCATCATTCTCTTCGGTCAGTAAGTCACTTCCGTCAGTCACTCCTTCGATCCTCACTCATGCATGACTAGATTTTTCTTGTCGCTCGGGAAAGCCCAGGAATCTCGAGCGCGTCATTATCGCCAAGCCAAACTCAACGAGTTTCGCTGAGTCCTGACTGAAAGCACAGTTTCTTAAGTCTCGTCATTCATACGTTTTCGGTCATGATGATCCTGGTTTTGCTTTGTGTGTTGTTAAGTGTTGCTTGCAAGTTGGTAGTCTAAGCTTATCCGACGAGATCATTGAAACTTCCTCTTGTTATAATCCTGGGAAAGAATTGTCGCTCCTCGTTTCCAGATCGATCAGACCACGTCCAGCTGTGATTTGTCGCTCAGCCTGCTGGATCCATTCCAGAGCTCGTTAAAGTCGCCTCTCATCCAGGCGCAGAGCATCACGGGTCCTAAAGTCGACGGTACCTTCCCAAGGATGGAAAAGAAAAAAGATCACCACAGCGCAAGGATGGCGTTGAAAAGAGATCTTACTTACCAGGTAGAGAAGCGCTGGTTGTGCCGAGTGAGTTAGCAAACCTGCTGCTAAGGCACAGATCAAACCGATGGTATAACCGCACTGAGCGTACCATGTGTACTTGTGCTGGTTTTTGGGCGACGGTAACTCCGAGCCCCGGGCTTTGGTGCTCTTGCGGTGATCAAAGCACACCACCAGTGCCACCAACATGCCTGGAATTGCCTGAAAGCACAGATCTCTTGTGAGTAGACTAAACAAAAGAAATAAACAAAAGAAAACAAGTCTAGCGATCTTAGAGGAACGAAGAGCATCAGAAAAGATCCAGAGTCAGAATCCAAGAGTTGAGAGAGAGAGAGAGAGAGAGAGAGAGAGATCCAATGGCACCCGGGATATGAGAGGAGCGCCACCTTCCTAGAAAACTAGAGAGAGAGAGAGAGAGAACGGACCATATCTCCAAGGCCGAGCATGAGATAATCGCCGACAGCGTTCCCGGCGGCGCCACCGATCAAATGCCTAGGAAACACAAGCTTGACGGGCATATCGAGCTGCTTGGTGATGGATCCCAGGCCCGGCAGATTGAGCTTGTCCGCGACGGTGCGCACTGGATTGGAAGCCTGCTGCGTCGCCACGGACACCATCACATTGGCGCCAAAGAACCTCTCAGACCAAAACACCCAAAACACGTCATACACGAACAGGCACGCCAGGAGGAGCGCGCAAACTCTCACGTTTGGGAGGCGGATGTGGCACACGAACGCCACGCAGATGGAAATCCCCAGGAGATTGTTGAGCAGCCAATGCCCCGAGACCAGCCACAGCGCGATCGCGGTCGCGGTCGCGGCCGCCACGAGCGGGGCTTGGATTCTGGGAGAGCCCAGCCGGGCGGCGTAGGGCGCGATGCAAAACGCGAGCGATGCCGCGGCCATGGCGGTGGTGAGGAGGGTAATGATCTGCGAGACGGAGGAGAAGAGGTAGAACATGAGGAGGAGGCTGCAGGAGCTGGCGAGGGGGATCATGAGCGCCTGGGAGCTATCTAGGGTTACCGACGACGCGCCGATGATCATCTCCTTGCTGCTGCTGCCACCGCCGAGCGCGATCTCATGGCCGAGGGCTCTGTGCGCCGAGGCGAAGACTACCGCTGCGGCCGTCGAGATCAGCGCCAGAGAGGACGGCTCCAGCAGGTATTGGAGCTTCCAGAGCGGCTCCATTTTCTCCTCCCTCTCGCGCGCGCGCGCCCTAGTGTGATCTGATTTTAGGGCTCTTCACATCACCCTGTTTTTAGGGTTCTTAGTTAACTTCCTTTCTTATATTGTTTTCGAGCTCGTCTTCGGTTGGGATCTTGGGGATCAACGCTGCGCGGCATTGCACGCACGGGCTCCCGTAGTAGGAGATGCTCCCTGGATGGCAGTAGAGGCGGCAATCGCTGGGAATTAGCATTTTCCTCTGCTTGAGATTGAGGAGCTGGATCGTTTGACCCGCGAAATGCCGCGATCGATCTGGGCAAATTTGCGCGAGAATTGCTGCTGGAGAGACCAGTCGATCTATCAATGTGCCAATCGAACTGGTGATTCCAGGTCTCTCAAATCGATCAATACATGACAAACCTGGGATTGTTGGTGCATCCAACAAGACACAAAGAATTGACATGATCAATCCAAGGAACCCCATGCAGCGCGTGCGAGAAGAAGGCGATAGCTTCAACTCCCAGAAGAAGATGGCGAAAGAAAACACGCAAGAAAAGAAGTTTATCGGGTGATTTGTGCGAGGTTTGACCCCGTGGACCGGTCAATGAAAGCTGACCACTCTCGTGCCACGCGGCACGGGCTAAATGGTCACATGCCCGGATGGATCCAACGGCTGACGCACATAGGGCCTACCTTCTAGGTATTGTCGCTCTCTTTGTAAGTGCGTGCTCGCTAGCTGCTCGTCCCTCGCGAGCTTGCCCCCGCCGTGACGATTCAACCCAGGAATTTTGCTCGCTAGGGTCAGATCGACGCGGAAAGAATGCTGACCGGGCTAAATCCGCGACGAATATGGCCTTAGATAGAAATAGGCGCTGCCGCTGCTTAGGATCATCGGGATAGCGCAAGGTCATGGCGCTCTCCAGGATCTTCCTCCTCCTCTGCCTCTTCCTCGTCGCGTCCGTGCTCACCTATCAGTCCCTGAGCGTGGCGCGGAGCTCCGCGGTGCGAAATTTCGGCCGATCGCGGGCAGCCGGCGCCGCATCGTCGGCTCTCGTCTCAATGCCGCGGGATTTCGCCAAGGCGCGGCGCAGGGAGCGGCGCTTCCACACCGCGGTCACGGCCACATCGGCGCTCTACAATCGCTGGCAGTGCCGGATCATGTACTACTGGTACAAGAAGTTCAAGGACGAGGCTGGATCCGAGATGGGAGGGTTTACGCGTGTGCTCCACTCCGGGAAGCCCGATAATCTCATGGACGAAATTCCCACCTTTGTGGTCGACCCTCTCCCCCCGGGCATGGATAAGGTATGCGATCACAAAGCTCTCTCTCGGGCTTCTTTGGGATTGGAGTTCCTAGCGATCGTTGACTTGAAAGCTTTTTTCTTCGTCCAGGGATACGTTGTTCTAAACAGGCCCTGGGCTTTCGTCCAATGGTTGCAAAAGGCCAACATCGAAGAGGAGTAAGTTCTTTTCTCTTGGAATCCACCGGCTGTTGGTCTTAGAATTCATTCAATGCTCATGGCTGGTTTTTTCCCTTTCCTTGTTTTCTTGTTGTCAGGTATATATTCATGGCCGAGCCGGACCATGTCATTCTCAGGCCAATTCCAAATCTTGCCATAGACGACATGCCTGCAGCGTATCCATTCTTTTACATCACGCCCAAGTCACACGAGAAGTTGCTTCGGAGGTACTTCCCCGAAGATAGAGGACCCATTACTAACATTGATCCAATTGGGAACTCACCCGTGATCATCAAAAAGGTAGCTCCTGTTGTTTTTTTCTCTCGTTAAGCATTGGCTACGTCGCTTGCAGTCACATCTTCTAAGAGTTGCGCCGACTTGGGCGAATGTATCGCTCCAACTTAAAAACGATCCGGCCGCAGACAAAGCGTTCGGCTGGGTTCTAGAAATGTGAGCGGGAGTTATTTGTCACTACCTGTGTTGTAATTTTCCATCTTTTACAGGTATGGCTATGCTGTTGCTTCGGCTTTGCATGGGATCCAGCACATACTGCATAAGAATTTCATGGTTCAGGTATGTACACTCGATCTTTCTGTAAGAAACTTAGTAGACTCTGCGTTCACAGCCGCCGTGGGACGGCAAACTAGGCGAGGTGTACATGATCCACTACACTTACGGATGCGACTACACAATGAAGGTAGTGCTTTGGTGTGGTTTCCTGCGCGCACACCAGCCTGCTGATTGCATCATATGGCAGATTTCTTGGTGGTGAAATATTTCTCACGCAGTGCTGGCTACGGTTCTTTAGGGAGAATTGACTTACGGCAAAGTCGGGGAGTGGAGATTCGACAAGCGTTCCTACACTCAGAAGGTCATGCCCCAGAATCTGACGCTTCCACCTCCAGGCGTTCCAGAAACAGTGGTATGAATGATCATGAAAGTTTTCTTTGTTTGAGCTTGTTTCTAATGCTTTGCTCTCCAGGTGAGATTAGTACAGATGGTAAATGAGGCCACTGCAAACCTTCCAAACTGGACAATGCAGTGAGTGCTGGTAAGTCCACGCAAATTCTCACTGTCGTTTGCTCAAACTGGGATTTTGGAATTTCAGCTAGGCTCGACAATGGTACATAGCTAAATTTTTGCGAAATCTAAGGACGTATAAGGAGACTGGGACCCCATTTTGTCAGCAAAGGGAATCTTTCAAATAAACTTCTTTCCAATCGAAGCCGTGCCGAGCAAATCGCTGGTGAGATAACCATAGTTTTTAGCCCGCTCGAATATTTCTTTCTGCCAAAAGTTGAAAAACCGCATTAAAGTTTTAAGCATCTTGCGACACCAACCTGGAGCATTTGCGTAACGTCACCATTTGTCTGCGAGAAGAGATCTCGATTAAAAAACTGAGGTAAAGACTAGAAATCGCTCTAACCATGAGATGCAATGGTTGCCAAGTGCTTTGGCTCCATTGTTTTGGATCGAAGTTGGCATTCCATGGAACTGGCATCTTGATGCTCCTCACAGGCTGGATCAAACTCAAACTATCTGGAAATGCGAGAGAAAAGGGAAATAGGATCTGTAAGCGTGGTTGTTTGCTCGCTTACTGGTCACGAAGGCTTCTTTCCACGAGGATCGCTCGTCCCAAGAAGGGCTGGTCTCGCTCACTGGTATGCTCGTATCGTGACAAATCCTATCGGGAACACCGAAAGAGAAGTTGGAAGAACGTAAGCTTGAGAAAGCTTCGATTTTACTCAATGACTAGTTGCCGGATCGTCCCAGGTAGAACTCCGTTTTCCAGGGCAGCGGTTTTGACAGTGACTCTGCCATCACTGGGGGAAAGGAAAAGGATGAGCTTAGAACGAGAAAAGCACAAAACTTACGAGCTTAAAACAACGAAGAAATTGGATATGGATCCCTCCAGCAAGTGCTGGCCATCGTTTGAGAGGACCACTTCGGTGGCATTCTCAGGCTTGCATTGCTCCAGCACTTGGCGAGCACTGGAGAAATCACTCGTGAGAAAAGCTTGTAGGAAGAAAGATCGAAAGAGAAAAGTTTACATTACCTTACCCATTGCGAAGACTTGGCGAGAGGAAGCGGGCGGCTAGGCCCCATGACAGCAACGCTGGCCGTGTTCACGACGATTGCAGGGACGAAGCTTGAGATATGGACAGAAACGTCGAGAGATCTCTGCGAACAGGGAATAGAAAAGGTGGAGCTTCGCCATGAAAAGTGATTACCTCATCGGAATGACGAAGATGAACAGTCACAGCGAGCTCCTCTTTCTCACTCCGTCTCTTCAATGCTTCTCCCAGTCCCGCACGTAAGGACGGATTCAAAAGCTCGGGAAGAGAATGGGAGCTGGGCGATGGCGAAAAAGTCCCGGTTCTCAAGAGGCGAAGAGACTGAGCGAGACGAGCAAGATGCCTCTCCCAGAGGAGCAAACGAGCTCCTCGATCAGCAGTCCGGGTCACGGTGAAAGCACCTGAAAGTCGAGAGCTCCGGATAGCTTGGAAGAATTCGTGCTTACCTTCGGGATGGGAGCGAAGAAAAGACGTGACTTGCCCTGGATCATGCTCCTGCAAAGCTCCATTCTGGACGAGAAGGCGCCATCCAGAAGCCATTCGTGAAAATTTGCTGCCAAGATCGGGAGAAATAGCGCCACCTCCTAAAGTACTAGCAAAAGAAACAAGTCGTCTCTAGCAGTCGTGACTCGTGATCTCAGACGAAGAAAAAAAGTAATTGTTGTGCCAAGTCAAAGACAAGCTAGCTACCAGAAGAAGCTCAAGAAACCAAAAGAAAATTTTTGAGAGTAGTCAAAGAGTTTATTCTCTCATCTCTCTTACCCCTTTCTAGTGGAGGTAAGCTGGAATTTTAATGCGAATGAAGAGAACGCTCATCGCATAGGCGATCACCACTGCCGCAATTCCACCCAGCCCAAATGACATCCTCACATTCTTGCTCCAGCCCTTGTGCGTGGCCAGATCCAGCGCCACAATCCCCATTCCACCAAGAACAAACATAAATCCCGACGACAAACCCTCGATAATGTACTGCCCATTCACTCGCCCCGGCAAGAATACCACTGGACGGATCGCACCTGTTACTGGATCTTGGCGGCTGCCGATCCCTGGCGGCTCCACAATCACATCGTAGATTATCCCAGAAACTACGAGAAAATATGATGCTAGCACCAGGAAGAAGGCTGTCATCGGCGATGGCAGCTCCGGGACCAGCGATCTAAGGCGCATTCGAGGCGGCCGAAGCCCCTTGTAGATCAGCCGCACCGCATGTTCCACTGGATCCATCGCCTGCCCCTGTTTCTAGGGTTCCGCAACCCCAATTTAGGGTTCTTGAGCCAATTTGAGGGTTTTAGGGTTCTTGCTCGTTGGCTAGTCCGATGGAGCGCATTGAGGATCTTCTCGTTGCTGGGGGTTACTTCCGGGCGCGGATTTCGAGTCTCTCGCCCTTCGACAAGCTTACGGGAGGCCTGGCGTGGTGCATTGCCGCCAGCAATGTGGACGTCGACTACGATCATCTAGACTACAGCGATGATCTCATTCTTGGAGAGAAAATGTAAGCTCCGGCTTGACTTCTACGGGTTTTTTTATCGCTTTGTCTGTGGTTTAGAAAGATTGGAGAGGCGATCGAGTCGGCTCTCCAGAGAATGGGGTGTCCCTATCCTCTTCAAGCGCATCAAATCCAGGGGTTGGATTATCCGGCTGTGTTGCCAGTCGTTCAATGGCTTGTCAAGCGAGTTCTAGACACTCGCAATGAAATTGGAGACCTGGTAAGGTTTTCTTCTCTTTTCCTTTTGTTTAACTCGTAGTTCTTGCACAGCTCCGGAGATACTCTCATTTCCAGTTCAGTAAGAACTATGAGCTGCCGATACAACATCGATCCAAAGACTATAACGTATCATTCAGTGATCTCAACAATTAGAAAACCACTCTTACTTTTCATATACAGGACACTATACGAGCGCATGCTGAAGATCCTCAGTCGGGACACTTGCAACACATTTCTCGACAATCCAGGTTTTGTCTGACATTCTTCGTTTTCTCAACTCTTCCATAAAGCTTCTTGTTTTTTCAGGAATTTGCAGTTGTTCTTCGACAGAAATATACGCGCGGAGTACACAGTCCTTAAATACGGGTCGAAGAGGTAAGCCTACTTATACGCTTTGTTCTTACAAGTTTTAGATAAACTCTGTCTAGTGCTCAATCTGAAGCAGTCTCTAAGGTATGGTGAACATCTTTTACATCCGACTAAAACCGATGAAACGACAGCAATGGGAATTGATTGAAGCTTCTGAAAGGCAAGTATAGATCTACTTGTTTCATTTGATCTCTCATAATTCCACTTAACAGCAAGTTCGATGGCGAAGTACACAATGACCCTTATGACCAAAAGGTAGGCCTGCCTGTGAGTCTGAGTTTTCTTATTTCGCCTCTTTGTAGATTGACGAATTGAGAAACAAGCTCGAACGAAGCAAAGAAAGGCTCTCGGTTCTTGTTCATGGCATCAAGAAAGCTTCTTTGTTAGATAAGCGGGATCATATCGACGAGCAGGTTTGTGGTTTTGTTTCCGCTTGAACAAAGCTTGATTTTTTGCAACTGCAGACTAGAGCAAAGGAAAGCGTTCTATCCGAAATAGCTAAGCTGCGGATGTCTTCTGATGTTTCGAAGGATCAAGACACACTGGACAACGTCATAGGAGCATTGAAGTTGTTGACGGTTTCTAAAACTCATATCACTCCATGCTCAACTGCTAAGAGTTTATTTTCAGCTTCTGGAAAGAGAGAAGGTCGCGTTTGTGGAAGCGTCTAGAGACGATCGAAACAGAATGGAGAGGCAACTAAACAGCCTGAAAGAGTCACTTTCAACGGCCGGGGAGAATATCCTTGAGAAAAAGACATGTCTTAGGAAAGTAAGTCACTGATCCTTACCGTCTCTTGCTGAAAAGATTTTTTCAGGAACTCGCAAAACTAAGTCGTGATGTTGTTGTTCTTAAACGTCGCGTGGATGATGTTCCTACACAATTGGAACTTATACAGTAAATTTTTTTCACCTCGAAAAAGTGTGAGAATGTACTTACTCCTTAGTAACAGATACGAACGATGTTTTATGGAGCTCTACGTGAACATTCAGGTGAGCTTTTTACATTCACGACAATTTGTTTATTTTCCTTCTCTGGTGAATAGGCCAAGCTACGCGAGACTCGGAAGTATTATGCGTCCTACAATGCTCTTGTTGAAGCGAATGAGTTATCACTGAAGGAAATATCTCTACTGAACTCGATAAATGACCAGGTCCTTAACGCAATTATCATTTCATTGTGATGAAAGACGAGATTCTATTCAATGCAGTACGAGAAGGCGATGGCAACAAGCGAGGGTCGTCCCAGATTTGTTGAATCCATGCAAGAAATATCGAAAGGGGCACAACGGGTCAGTGGCTTACTCTTTCGTTATCCTTGCTAACTCTCGTCAACATTGCAGAAGCTTCAAAAGATGGAGAACCGCTGCTCCGAGAAGAAGACCACGTATGACAGTCTGAAAACAAAACACGGAGCTGCAGTTGCAAAACGACGTCAATACTACGCACTTTTGAAGCAACTTCAGGTAGTATTATAGATGTCGCTGATACATATCCTTCTTACGTTTCTAATCGCAGGAAGAGTTTACCCGGAATGAAAAGCTAAAGACTCAATGACATCGTAAGCTACTGTCTTCTTTCTCTTTAAAAATTATATTTATCTGCTAGCGACACTAATAAATCCCTCTAGACGTGCAACAACCAAAAACGTGTGTACATCGGAGTCTAGCTATGGAGGAGAAGAAGCAGCGACCACACTTGCTAGCAGTTCCATTTCCAGCTCTGGGCAACATCAATCCTATGCTTCAACTGTGTAAGACGCTCGTATCCAATGGATTTTTCATCACTTTCTTGATCTCAAACAAAAGGGAGACTTTTATAGCTACTGAGCAACAAGCTACTGGTCAGCATTTGAGATTTGTCTACTTACCAGATGCTTTCATTCCAGAAGCCTTCTCCGTCACTACGGTTCCGCTCCAGTTTGCTGCTATCTTGGAAAAGAAGCTCAAATTGGCGGTGCCAGAGATTATTCGAGATATCATGACAGATGATTCTCTGCCTAGAGTGTCTTGCATACTCACCGACGTAGCAATTACTAGCCTTCAAGACGTCGCTCACCAGTTCGGGATTTGCAAGGTCTCTCTTTCAACATTTTCTGCTTCGTGGCTTAGCATCGAGAATGGTCTTCTTGTGCTTGAGGAAAATGGACTCCTGCCGCTAAAAGGTACTTTTTAATCTATTCCACTTGAGTTTTTATTATATTTTTTCAGGCACTTCGAGGATCATAGATTTCGTACCCGGCCTCCCTCCAATTTCTGGACGGGATTTTCCTTCGCATCTTCAGGAAGTTCACGCCGTAGATCCCGACTTCTCTCTCCGATATACCAGGAACCAGATCATACAGAGAGACGCATTGGTGTTTATAAACTCTTTTCACGAGTTAGAAACATCTCAGCTTGACCAGCTTGCTAGAGACAATCCACGGTTCGTTCCAATCGGTCCATTGCTCCCGTCATTTGCATTCGACGGCCAGGTTGGAGTGGACGAACTCGAGCAGGAGAGGTGTGGTTTTTGGACTGAAGATATGAGCTGCCTCGACTGGCTGGACGAGCAGCCATCCAAATCCGTCATCTACGTCTCCTTTGGAAGCCTGGCCAGTGCTTCTCCTGACCAAATCAAGCAGCTCTATACAGGACTCGTGCAAAGTGATTATCCTTTCCTTTGGGTGATACGACCAGACAACGATGAGCTTCGAAAACTTTTCGATGATTCAAGTTATGACAAATGCAAGTTTGTTTCCTGGGCTCCTCAACTCAAGGTAAGCTTCTTCTTTTACCTCTTTTTCTTGCTTAATATGTCGTCCACACAGGTTCTCAGGCATCCTTCCGTGGGTGCGTTTCTCACTCATTGTGGATGGAATTCTCTTTTGGAGACGATCGTTGCTGGAGTCCCCGTGCTTGGATGGCCTTTCTTGTTCGACCAGCCACTTAACTGTGCGCTCGCTGTGGAGCATTGGAAGATTGGCTTTCGCTTGCCACCGAGTCCAGATGCCACAATCGTTGAAAAGGCAGTGAAGGATATGATGGGAGAAGCAGGCCAAATGTGGAGAGACAATGTCACGAAGCTTGCCATCTCCGCGAAAGATGCAGTCTCTGATGGAGGTCTTTCACATCGAAACTTGGAAGCTTTTAAGTGTAAAATGGAGATTGTTTCATAAAACCAGATTTACTTAAACTAAACTGCCGGCAGAAGCTCTACAGTGGCCAGCAAAGACGGGGCAAAGATCACGACATTCGAAAGATTTCCAGCGATCCTGGACCGGAGAAGCGAAATTCATCGGCTTTACCTCGCGAAGCCGGCCCAGCCCTGGAATCGACGCGCAAGCTCCCATTCTACCCTAGCCAAGCTTCTCCGTGAAATTCATTCAAATACAATGAGAGGTTCCTTCGAATATGCGGATGCTCTTGATTCCTAGAATATGTTTTTTACATAGACAAGCATTGGGCCGCTGTTCTTCCTTCTTTGTTTCATCGCTGCTGGGCTCTTCTCCTCATTAGAAATGCTTAGTTTGTGGTGTTTCACTGACTGCTTTAGTTTTATGCCATTTTACACTTAAAAGCTTCCAAGTTTCGATGTGAAAGACCTCCATCAGAGACTGCATCTTTCGCGGAGATGGCAAGCTTCGTGACATTGTCTCTCCACATTTGGCCCGCTTCTCCCATGATATTCTTCACTGCCTTTTCAACGAGCGTGGCATCTGGACCCGGTGGCAAGCGAGAGCCAATCTTCCAATGCTCCACAGCGAGCGCACAGTTGAGTGGCTGCTCATACAAGAAAGGCCATCCAATCACGGGGACTCCAGCAACGATCGTCTCCAAAAGAGAATTCCATCCACAATGAGTGAGAAACGCACCCACGGAAGGATGCTTGAGAACCTGTGTGGACGACATATTATGCAAGAAAAGAGGTAAAAGACGAAGCTTACCTTGAGTTGAGGAGCCCAGGAAACAAACTTGCATTTGTCATAACTTGGATCTTCGAAAAGTTTTCGAAGCTCATCATTGTCTGATCGTATCACCCAAAGGAAAGGATAATCACTTTGCACGAGTCCTGAATAGAGTTGCTTGATATGGTCGGGAGAAGCATTGGCTACGCTTCCAAAGGAGACGTAGATGACTGATTTGGATGGCTGCTCGTCCAGCCAGTCGAGGCAGCTCATATCTTCAGTCCAAAAACCACACCTCTCCTGCTCGAGTTCGTCCACTCCAACCTGGCCGTCGAATGCAAATGACGGGAGCAATGGACCGATTGGAACGAACCGTGGATTGTCTCTAGCAAGCTGGTCAAGCTGAGATGTTTCTAACTCGTGAAAAGAGTTTATAAACACCCATGAGTCATTTTGTATGATCTGGTTCCTGCTATACCGGATAGAGAAGTCGGGATCTAAAGGGTGGACTTCTTGAATTTGCAAAGTAAAATCCCGTCCAGCAATTGGAGGGAGGCCGGGTACGAAATCAATGATCCTTGAAGTGCCTAAAAATTAATTTAAAGAAAAAATCAACTCAGACTGGAATAAAAGAAAAACATACCGTTTAGCGGCAGGAGTCCATTTTCCTTGAGCACAGGAAGACCATTCTGGATGCTAAGCCATGAAGCAGAAAATGTTGAAAGAGTCACCTTGCAAATCCCGAACTGGCGAGCGACGTCTTGAAGGCTAGTAATTACTACGTCGGTGAGTATGCAAGACACTCGAGGCAGAGAAGGATCTGCCATGACATCTTGAATAATTTCTGGTACCGCCAATTTGAGATTGTTCTCCAGAATAGCAGTAAACTCGAGCAGAACCGTAGAGGCGGATATGACTCCTGGAAGCAAATTATCGGGTAAGTAGACAAATCGCAAGTGCTGGCCTGTAGCCCGTTGCTCTGTAGCTATAAAATTCTCCCTTTTGTGTGAGACCAAGAAAGTGATGAAAAATCCACTGGATGCGAGCCTCTTACACAATTGAAGCATAGAATTTATGTGGCCTTGAGCTGGGACTGGAACTGCTAGCAAGTGTGGTCGTTGCTTCATCTCCTCCATAGCTAGACTGCGATGGACACACGTTATGCACATAAAACCAAAAAAGATAGTCTTACACGCCTCTAGCGATTAGAAGCTATCTAGAACCATTATTAACAAGAACATTTAAAATTCAGGGGTAGCTGCGCACAAACCTGTTACTGGCTGTCAACGAGTGAGCATGTGCTCTTTGACAGAACTGTTCTGGTGGTTACATGTTCTCAGAATCCTGGCTATAACTCTTTTTGATCCAACAGCCACCGATAGTCTGATTAACTTATTGCCCCCATAAAGAACCAAGAAAAGATTAAATGAGTACTGAAAATTGTTATACATTGAAATGCATAGGCTATATTCCTATATTTTTTAAGGTTAATAACACTTTATTAACTATTTAAGAACAACAAATGTCTTCTGTGAATGGACCTCTCACGCCTGCCACACACAAAATTCCATATATAAAAAGGATTTTTGAGATTTCATTAATCTCTTGAGCAACGATCAGAACTAAAAATACAAAGTGTTCTACTATCCTCGTTGAGGGATGCTTGGTGTGAAAGATACCTCTTGCTGCATAACAGGGATGCTAAGAGATGACAGTACCTCATCAAGGCTCATGTTTGAGAGGCTTAAACAACATCTTTGCAAGGAGCTCTTGCCACAACATTCTAGACTGTGAGTGAAGATTAGCAACCCACCCATTGATCCTCTGTAGACCAAAGTTCATCAAGCAGCAAGCCTGTAGCTTAAAGCCAAGAGGTATGCAGTGATCATCACTTTAGTTTAAGTAAATTTGGTTTTATTTCGTCCCAGATATTGGATCTTTAGCAGAGATCGACATTATCTATCCACATTTGTCCTGCTTCTCCCATGGTATTCTTCATTGCCTTTTAAACGATCGTGGCATCTAGACTCTGTGGCAAGCGAGAGCCAATCTGAAGAGAAGAAGAGCAGAAGCTATGATGGACAAGGACGACTCGAAGGATAGTCCTATATAATATCATAGATATATATACATGATCAAGAGACATGCCTCTAGCCTACACCTGGATCAGTGAAGTGGCACTACTGCCACCTAGGATCATGTCATAGAGAGCATAGGATACTCTGTCAGCGCCTCTACTTGCAGCCCTCAGTGCCTCGTCCCTCCCGGCACTCACCTCTACAATGTCAAGTGCCCAGCAAGGCTCTGCTCAGGACCTCTGCACGCCCTAGCGCCTTGCTCAGCACCCTAGCACAGTCTTTGCTCAGCCAGTTTCTCACACCAGCGCCTCACTCAGTGCTCCAGTACCACTCAGTGCCTTAAGCCAGCCCTCTCTCAACACCTCTGCCAGCGCCTCCACTCGATCACGCCCTAGGGCCTTGCTCAGCTTGCTAGTGCCATTATCTTGGTGCTCAGTGCAGTGCAGTGCCAAATCTTGGCACCTCTCAGCCACATCCAGTGGCTCATCATCATCCTCATTGGCCTCCTCCTCAGCCAATGCCATTGTCCTATATAATATCAAGAGACATGCCTCTAGCCTACACCTGGATCAGTGAAGTGGTACTACTGCCACCTAAGATCATGTCATAGAGAGTGTATACCTCAACACTCCCTCTCAATCTCGATGACATGAATCTGAGATCACTCTCCCTCTACATCCAAGCACTCTATTGTATCCACAATAGGAATCTGTCTCCCTCTCAGAAACTTACAGCTCTACCTTTCTAGAACCTGTGGCCTAGATGTCCCATGGCCACCTCTCAGGATCTCCCTCTCAGGAAACAGAAAACACTTGTCTAAACACAACAAGGATGGACCATGGAATACCTCTGATCTCTCACTATCCTTGGCTGAAGCTCCCAATGTCTTAGCCTCGATCAAGCCTCCTCGGCCAGAGTCCTAACAACTCTCTCCCTCTGCTATGGAGCCCTCTCACAGCCCAACACTCAGCATTGCCTCTGCCTGCTTGCCTTTGGATAGCAGTCTAATGCTCCATATGTGCTCCTCTGTCCAGCCCACCAGTGCCCTAGCAATCCAAGCCCTCATGCCTCTTTAGTGCCTTGTGCCTCTATGCCCAGCACTCACCTCTGCTCTCTCAGCGCTTGTGCCAGCACCTTAGGACCATGCTCAACACCCTAGCACCTTGCTCAATGCCTCTAATTGCAATCTCTACTTGCCTAGCCCTCTCTCAGCACCTCTACTAGCACCTCTCTGCTTGTGCCTCACACCTCTCTCAACGCCTCTGTCAATGCCTCAAGGCCGTTCTCTAACACTAGCACCTCACTCAGCACTCCAGTACCACTCGGTGCCTCAAGCCAGCCCTCTCTCAACGCCTCTACTAGTGCCTTCGGGCCAATGTCTACTTGATCACGTCCTAGTGCCTTGCTCAGCTCACTAGTGCCATTATCTTGGCACTTAGTGCATTGCAATGCCAACTCTTGGCACCTCTCATCCACGTCTGGTGGCTCATCATCATCCTTCGAGTCATCCTTGTCCATCATAGCTTCCACTCTTCTTCTCTTCATGGTATCGAAGCCTTGAGGGCTTCAGATCCTGGGACAATGGTGCTGCCCGAGGAGGAGGCCAATGAGGATGACGATGAGCCACTAGACGTGGCTGAGAGGTGCCAAGATTTGGCACTGCACTGCACTAAGCACCAAGATAACAACACTAGCAAGTTGAGCAAAGCGCTAGGACGTGATCAAGTAGACACCAGCCCGAAGGCACTAGTACAGGCGCTGAGAGAGGGCTGGCTTGAGGCACCATGTGGTACTGGAGCACTGAGTGAGGCACTAGTGTCAGAGAGCAGCCCTGAGGTGCTGATAGAGGTGCTAAGAGAGGTGTGAGGCACAAGCAGAGAGGCATTGGCAGAGGTGTTGAAAGAGGGCTGGGCAAGCAGAGATTGTGATCAGAAGCACTGAGCAAGGTGTTAGGGTGCTGAGTATGGTCCTAAGGTGCTGGCACAAGCACTGAGAGAGCAAAGGTGAGTGCTAGGCATAGAGGCACGAGGCACTGAAGAGGCATGAGGATTTAGATTGCTAGGGCACTAATGGGCTGGATAAAGGAGCACGTATGGAGCATTGGAGTGTTGTCTAGAGGCAAGTAAGCAGAGGCAATGCTGAGTGCTGGGCTATGAGAGGGCTCCATAGCAGAGGGAGAGAGCCATTAGGACTTTGGCTGAGGAGACTGAGATGATGGGAGCTTCAACCAAGGACAGAGGTATTCTGTGGTCCATGCTTGTTGTGTTTAGATAAGTGTTTCCTAAGAGGGAGATCTTGAGAGATGGCCATGGGACGATCTAGGAGGTAGAGAGCCATGGGTTCTAGAGAGGCAAAGCTATAGGTTTTTGAGAGGGAGACAGATTCCTGTCATGGATATGATAGAATGCTTGGATGCAGAGGGAGAGTGATCTCAGATTCATGTCATCGAGATCGAAAGCCCTCACACTTCAGCATTGAGCTCGTGCTCTTTTGTAGCCCTTTCACAGCTCAGCACTCAGCATCGCCACTACTTGCTTGCCTCTGGACAGCACTCCAATGCTCCATACACACTCCTCTGTCCAACCCACCAGTGCCCCAGCAATCCAAGCCTTTGTGCTTCTACACCCATCACTCACCTCTAGCCAGTGTCAAGTGCCCGGCACCTATGTTAGTGCCTCTGCCTTGCACACCCTAGCGCCTTGCTTAGTGCCGTAATGCAGACACTGCTCGGCCAGCCCTCTCTTAGAGCCTCTGCCAGCACCTTCGTGCCTTGCTCAGCACCCTAGTGCAGTCTCTGCTCAGTAGCGCCTTAGGTCACTCTCTCACACCAAGCCCTCGCACCTCTGCCTGCAGCCCTTAGTGCCTCGTGCCTCTACCCTACAGGGTCCAGCGCTCACCTCTGCTTGGTGCCTCTCTCAGCGCCTCTGCCAGCGCCTCCAGGCTGGTCTCTGCTCGATCACGCCCACCAGTGCCTCAGCAATCCAAGCCCTTGTGCCTCTTTGGTGCCTCATGCCTCTACACTCAGCATCACCTCACGCCTTGCTCAGCTCACTAGTGCCGTTATCTTGCGCTCAATGCAGTGCAGTGCCAAATCTCAGCCACATCTGGACACACCTCAAGGCTCTGATACCATGAAGAGAAGAAGAGCGGAAGCTATGATGGACAAGGATGACTTAAAGGATAATTGTATATAATATTATAGATATATATACATGATCAAGAGACACACGTCTAGCCTACACCTGGATTAGTGAAGTGGCACTACTGCCACCTAAAATCATGTCATATAGAGCATATACCTCAACACAATCTTCCAATGCTCCACAGCAAGCGCACAATTAAGTGGCTGCTCGTACATGAAAGGCCATCCAAGCACGAACAATAGTCTCCAAGAGAGAATTCCATCCACAACAAGTGAGAAATGCACCCATGGAAGGATGCGGGAGAACCGACATATTAAGCAAGAAAAAGAGGTAAAAGAAGAAGCTTACCTTGAGTTGAAGAGCCCAGGAAACAAATTTGCATTTGTCATAACTTGGATCTTCGAAAAGTTTTCGAAGCTCTGGTCATATCACCCATAGGAAAGGATAATCACTTTGCACGAGTCCTGAATAGAGTTGCTTGATATGGTCGGGAAAAGCACTGGCCATGCTTCCAAAGGAGATGTAGATGACTGATTTGGATGGCTGCTCGTCCAGCCAGTCAAGGCAGCTCATATCTTCCGTCCAAAAACCACACCTTTACTGCTCGAGTTCGTCCACTCCAACCTGGCCCTCAAATGCAAATGACAGGAGCAATGGACCGATTGGAACGAACCGTGGATTATATGTTTCCACGCTCGCCAGTTCAGGATTTGCAAGGTGACTCTGATTTCGTACCCGGGCTCCCTCCATTCACTGGACGGGATTTTTCTTTCCATGTTCAAGAAGTCCACCCCATAGATCCTGACTTCTGTATCCGGTATAGCAGGAACCAGATCATACAGAGTGACGCAGGGGTGTTTATAAACTCTTTCCACGAGTAAGTTTTGGTCAAGCCCAAAACTTTGATATCTTTCTTGTCATGGAAATCGATCCAAAAGTCCAATTCTTTTTAGTTTTTTGGAGAAATAGAGGAATGCTCACTAAAGAAAAAAGACACAATGGAAAAAATATTACATCTGAGTCCAGAAAAAAAGAAGCTGTTTACATATACCTTGCTCGATGTGAGATGGATTGTGGCTACTGGCAGTGAACGATGTGGCGCATTGGCAGAAATCGTCCAGACATCCCTGTGCTTTTCACTCTGGAAAGAAGAAAAAAGAGAGTCGATCAAGCTATCGATCATCAAGAACATATCTTACGGGATGAGAGGGAATGGTAAGATCAGAGATTATTCGAGATATCATGGCAGATGATTCTCTGCCTAGAGTGCCTTGCATACTCACCGACGTCCTTCAAGACATCGCTCGTTCGGGATTTGCAAGGTCTCTCTTTCAACATTTTCTGCTTTGTGGCTTAGCATCCAGAATGGTCTTCTTGTGCTCAAGGAAAATGGACTCCTGCCACTAAAAGGTATGCTTTTCTTTTATTCCAGTCTGAGTTGATTTTTTCTTTAAATAATTTTTTAGGCACTTCGAGGATTATTGATTTCGTACCCGGCCTCCCTCCAATTGCTGGACGGGATTTTACTTTGCAAATTCAAGAAGTCCACCCCTTAGATGACTTCTCTATCATGTATAGCAGGAGCCAGATCATACAGACTGACGCATGGGTGTTTATGAACTCTTTCCACGAGTTGAAAGACCTGTGGAGCATTGGAAGATTGGCTTTCGCTTGCCACCGAGTCCAGATATGCCACAATCGTTGAAAAGGCAGTGAAGGATATGATGGGAGAAGCAGGCCAAATGTGGAGGGACAATGTCACGAAGCTTGCCATCTCCGCGAAAGATGCAGTCTCTGATGGAGGTCTTTCACATCGAAACTTGGAAGCTTTTACGTGTACAATGGAGTATGGACTTCACTTTCGTTGTGCTATTAAGAACATTGGCCATGAGCATGTAGGCCGCAGAGTCCTTGGCATTGAGCCTCTCGAGAGCCTCGAAAGCAATCCTCGCCACCGCCAGGTTCCTCCACTTTTGAGACGCCGCAAGAACACTCGTCCAAGTCACAGCGCTGGCCCCCATTGGCATCGATCTGGCCAGCTCCACCGCCGCCTCGAGCTGGTTGCCTCTCCCCAGCAAATCCACCATGCAATCGTAGTGCTCCACACGAATGGTGCAAGCTCCATGCTTTGCGCGATCGAGCATCGCATCGAAGTATCTTTTTCCCAGCTCCACAAGCCCCTGGTGGCTGCAAGCCGTGAGAACGCACGTAAAGCTTATCTCGTCCACCTTGAGGCCCTGCTCTTGCATTGCGTGGAAGAGCTCCAGCACGGCTTTGCTCTTGCCTTGACGGCTATGCCCCGCGAACAGTCCGTTCCATGTCGCCGAGTCAGTCATAGCCATGCAATCGAAAAGGTGGTGCGCGGAGGCGATGCTTCCACACCTTCCATAAACGTCTACTAGAGAGTTTGCGAGAAGTGGCTCAGATTCTAGCCCGCACCGACAAATCCTCGCGTGAAAGAAGGCTAGTTTCTCGATGTTGGCCAAGTTGCCGCAGGCTTTGAGAGCCGCGGTGAAGGCTTGGGCATCCGGCTGGAAGTCACGCAGGAACTCCGAGAACAAGTCGAGAGAAAGTTGCGACTCTCCATTCTCGACGTATCCAGCGAGGAGCGAAGTCCACGAGATTGGAGTGTGGAGCTTCATCCTGTCGAAGACTCCACGGGAATCCAGTAGGCTCCCACACTTTGCGTACAAATCCACCAGCGTGTTGCTCACAAATACGTGCGCCTCGGATCCTTGTTTCAATGCCTCGGAGTCTAGATCCATGGCTTTCTCCAGTGACACCACCTTGACGAGCTTCCCATTTACGTCTACGCCAGCTTCTTTAGATGCTAGACTCATGCAGGCTTTAAGCCCAGTAACAAGCGCGCCAACGTCGAGTTTGCAGCCACTTTCCACCATCTTTGAGAGCAAAAGAAGCCCAATCTCAACTTGCCCATTGACGGCAAATGCAGACACTAGAGCAGTCCAGGAGATTACATCTCTTTCAGGCATTTTGTCGAAAACTTTGGCAGCGTCCAAGGTGCTACCGCAGGTCCCATACATGTCTATCAAGCTGTTGGCCACGAAAATGTCTATGCGCCCGCGAGAAACAGCCTTGGAGTGGAGTTCCATGCCTTTGGCAAGAGCCCCGAGCTTCGCAAGCTCTCCATTTGATACCACTTGGCCCGTTTCTTTCACTGCCAGGCCACTACAAGCCTTGAAAGCAGCCACAAAGGTTCTGCCGTTCAAAGACTCCAGACCCAAACGCTCGGAGACGGACGAAAAGATCTCTAGACAAAGTTGCTCGTCGCCGTTTTCGGCATAGCCAAGCAGCAACGCGTTCCAGGACACCAGGCTGTGGCACGCCATTCCGTGAAAAACACGAGAGGATTCCTCCATGCTTCCACACTTTGCGTAGAGATCGACGAGGGAATTCAAGACAAAGATGTCGAGATGGAAGCTTTCGAGGAGCTGAGAGTGGACGAGCCGAGCCCTCTCCAGGCTGTGTAGTTTGAGAAGAGTGCCTCGAGTGATCTGTGCATTCTCTTGAGCTGCGACGGAGACGCAATCTTTGATTGTGGCCATGGCTTCTCTGGCAGCTCTTTTGAATCCTCTCGACATTCATGATCTAAAATGAAGGTTTAGTTAAAGGTAGAGCCCTAGTTAGAAGATAAAGGTATAAAGTTAAAGGAAGGACCCTAGTTCTGTGAAATTAGGGTTCATATCTTATGGTGGAGCAGCAGCAGAGTCTCCATGACGCGGCCAGGGCGGGCGACTTGGATGCGATTAGATTGGCGCTGGCGGCGGATCCGGACGCTGTGAACAAGCGCGATCGCCACTCCCGCACACCGTATCCTTTGTTTCTTCAATCTCTTGCTTTGGTTTCTTGACGAGCCAGGAATGGGCATCCAGATTGCATCTGGCAGCGTGGGCGGGACACGCCAATGCCGTGAAGCTCCTCTGCGAGGCGAAATCTCCTGTCAACGCCGCGGCGATGGATGATATGTCGGCGCTCCACTTCGCGTGTCAAAAGGGCCATCTCCAAGCCGTGAAGGAGCTCTTGGGCGGTGGAGCCTCCATCAATTCGCATTCCAGAAAGGGGCTCACTCCACTGCACTGTGCTGTCCAGGGCAACCACAAGGATCTTGCAACTTACCTGGTGAGGCGAGGGAGCAATCTCTCCGCCAAGAACAAAGCAGGGAAGACTCCCGGCGATCTTGCAAGCTCCGAGCTGCGCGAGGCCATCGAGGGCGAGAGCCTGGCTCTCAAGGCCAGGAAAGAGGCCAAGGCCGAAGAGCGAGCTGCCAAGGTCCAAAAGACCGCCAAAGTCTCTCTCACTCACTTAGAGCAAGAGGATCACGTCGAGCAAGAGGATTGAAAACATAGGACCTCTCACCTCGAGCAATACAAGATCGATCGAAGATCACCACTGCGAGTGAGAGGATCACGAGCAAGAGGATTGAAAGTATAGGATCTCTCACCTCGAGCAATACAAGGTCGACGATATGAATCGAAGATCACCGCAGCGAGTACATGCTAGAGAGCATCACATACGGCGTTCCATCCTCGGGTTCTAGCTCCGCCACAAGCCGGGCAGCTCTGTGACCCTGTTCGTCCATCCCCTCCACTTGGGTCTTGCAAGCGCTCAGCAAGTGCATCCACGAGTAAACATCCGGCTCGAATGGCATCGCCGCCATGAGCTCCTCCGCCGCCACCAGCCTCCCGGATCGTCCCAGCATGTCCACCATGCAAGCGTAGTGCTCCATCTGGGCTTCCACTCCAAAGTCTCCCACGCCAAGCTGGAAGTAAGCTCGGCCGCCGTGAACCCGCCCGGCGTGGTTGCAAGCGCACAGCACGCTCACCAGCGTCACCTCGTCCGGGCTCACGCCTTCGAGCGCCATGGCGTGGAAGAGCTCCAGAGCTTGCCTCCCGAGCCCCTGCTGCGCGTAGCTCGCGATCATCGCAGTCCAGGATACCGCGTCCTGCGTGTGGAGCCGCTCGAGCACCGCGCGAGCCTCGCGCAGGCTGCCGCATTTCCCATACATGCTGATGAGCGAGCTCTCGACTTTGGAGTGGTAGAGCACAGAGCCACTCTCGGCGATGGCGGCGTGGACCATCCTTCCATCGCTAACCGAGGCCAAGTCGCCGCAGGCCTCGAGCGCGCTGATGAACGCGACTTCGTCCGGCCTCTCGCCCTCCAGGATCATCCTCCGGAAGGTGAGGAGCGCCTCGTCGAACTCGCGGTTCCGGCAGCACGACGAGAGCATCACCGTCCAGGACACCACGTCCCGCCGCTTCATCCTCTCGAAAGTCTCTCTCGCGTCGGCCAGGCTCTGGCACTTACCGTACATGTTGACGAGCGAGTTCTCCACCGCGAGCTCGCCGGTGAATCCGAGCTGGGCGATGCTGGAGTGGATCTCTCGGCCTCTGGCCAAGCTTCCCAAGTTGGCGCACGCATCCAAGCCCCCCGTGATCGTCACTGCGTCGCCCCTGACGCCTTCCAAGTCCATGACGCCGAAGAGCCTCAGTGCCTCGGCCGAGTCTTCGTTTCTCACGTAGGCCGCGATGAGAGCGTTCCAGGACACCACATTCCTCACGGGCATCTTGTCGAAAAACTCTTTCGCTTCTTGCAAATGCCCGTGTTGGGCATAAGCCGTCACCATGGAGTTCCAAGTCACGACGCTTCTCTCGCCCATCTCGTCAAACAAGTCGCGAGCTTTCTGGAGATGGCCTTTTTGGGCATACGCGGCGATCATGGTATTCCACGAAGCAGCGTTTTTCCTCGGCATCTTATCGAACATACTTCTCGCCGTGTCCATATCCCCTCTCTGGGTATAAGCCGCGATCATGGTGTTCCAGGTCACTTCACATCTCTCGGTGGCAGCATCAAAGAGTTCCCTGGCACCTTGAAGATGGTGGCTCCTCACGTAAGCGGCGATGATCATGTTCCACGTATAGAGGTTCCTGTGTCTCGGCCCGGTGCCATCGAACACTTCTTTGGCGTCCTTGAGGCTTCCACACTTGCCATACATTTCGATCAAGAGGTTTCGCAGGAAGCCGTTCTTGTCGAGGCCGGCAGTAGCGATTTCAGCGTGGACACGCTTGCCTTCTTCCAAGTTTTTGGAGCTCCCACACTTTCGCAGGAGGGGAGCGTAGTGATCCAAGTCGTGAGGACTGATCGAGATCATGGAACATCAACCTCTTAACGAGCCAGAAAAATTACCAAAAGAATTACTGTACAGTCTTGATGCCTGCTCTTGACAGCATCCATCTCTTTCCTATGTAGAAGGCGATGGCAACTAAAACCAAACAGAGAGATCCAACCCACCAGCGAACTCCCCACGATGTTTTCTCGGGAACTTCGGGGACTTCAAGCAAAGCATCGACCTGCAAAAGGCAATCAATCAATCACTGCTAGAAAAAATGCGAAGGCAAAACAACACACCTCGATCGGTGGTTTGGTCCAGTTGGCAATGATCCCTGGAACGTGACCTTGTCCGACAACCGCAACAACGGAGGCGTGCTTGCTGCACGCGCTTCTCAGTGTTGAAGTCATGAATCTGCTCGAGCAAGCCAAAGCAGAAGAAGATTTACGAAGCGTACATCGAACTTACAAGTCTCTTTCCGTCAGGAGAGCGTTTATAAGCGAGGGAAAACTCTTGACATATTCTCCCAGGAGCTTTACAGTGTCCTCGGAGAGCTCCTGAAGCAAAGTATTTAAGGGAACTGCTCTATAAAAAGTTGGCAAACCATTTTGTCAACCCACGGTAGGCAGATTATACTCAAGAGTAAACTCCCGCCCAGCTTCATCTTTTGCCACAGTGTCAACCCCGCCGTAGCTCGTTGTAGTGTAATCTAAAGACGAACAAGTCACTAGACTGACAAAAAGTCATACACTACTTACCGAGGCAAGCCGGTCCCCGAGAATAATTTCCGCATTGCACGCGCGTCCTGTATTGTAAGCTCTTCGGAATTCGTCCCCCGGTGAAACTCCCAGCCTTTGAGCAACCTGAACGTCTATAGGTTTGAAGTGATTTACACCTACGAGGAAGGATACCTTTGCGAGGAGGTAAGAATACAAGTTTCCAAGGGTATTCCCTTGCTTTGATCGCCAGGCTTCTAGCATCTTCTTTACTGTGGGAATCTGAGAGGAAAACAAAATGAAATACTAATCCATAAAAACGTACTTCATGAATCGTTGGTTGCAAAAGCAAAGAGCGTCGTTCACTGCATAACTCAAGAAAAACTGCCTGTTCACGAAATGAAGAACAAAAAGGTGAAATGTAGAACAAAAAGCGAAGAAAGCTAAACCTCTGGTTTGACGAGCTTGATCACGGCTTCAACGAGATCGCACGACTCCTGCTATTGTATTTCAATTTCACAATTTCATGAAACAAGAAGCAAAAAGATACCATGCTAACGCGAAGGAAGAAAACTAAATATACTTCCCTTAGAAACATGCGATGTGCCGACGATATAGACCGTAGACTCAAGGCCGGTCTCCCCCGAAATGTGATGAATGATTTTCACAGACTTTATCATCTTCTTAGGCAACTCGCGGAGAGCCTCTTCTTCTCCCTCTTCTTCTTCTTCTTCTTGTCCTTGACCTTCTCCTTCTTCGTCGCCTCTTCGATCCTCCTGTTCCTCCGCCCCGGCGTGTTTATCAGACCTCTCCGTCTCTACTGAGTCCCCAACACGATCCAATCGATCGCTTCCGGGATCCGCCTTAGAATTCTCCAAGCGATCCGTCTCGAATGCGGCGGGAGGAGCATCATACACCTTTCCCGCGGCGTCTCCCTTCGTGCTCTGCGCCATGCTCCGCACTAAAACCTCACTCAATATCAACGGTTCTCTTCGTCATACATTTTAAAGCCCGCGAAAAGCCATTCGAAGCGAAGTACCATTCTTCTTTGCAGGCACCGCGATCCTAATCTTCTTTCGGAAGTCCAATTCAAGCGGTTGCGTTTTCTGTTTTTCGAAAAAAGGAAAACTTCACAGATTTGAAATGGATTATTTGTGCACCAATCCCTCTCCCAGGATGCCGTCGATATTCATCGCGGGCATACCGTGGAACATGAATACTCCGGCATTCATGCATGCTTTGGCATTGAAATACTCTGGCATTTCCCGTGCATGTTGATGAGCGAGTTCGCCACCCTGAGCTCGCCGTTGGAGCTAAACTGGGCGATCCTGGAGTGTACGACGCTGTGACGATGACGGGAGGCTTGGATGCGTGTGCCAACTTAGGAAGTTTGGCGATAAGTGATCCCTTTTGAGATGCCCAAGCATTCGCTCAAAGTGATCCAAGTCCATGAGCCTCAGTGCCTCGGCCGAGTCTTCGTTTCTCACGTAGGCCGCGATGAGAGTGTTCCAGGACACCACATCCCTCACGGGCATCTTGTCAAAAAACACTCTTTCGCTTCGTGCAAACGCCCGTGTTGGGCATAAGTCGTCACCATGGAGTTCCAAGTCACGACGCTTCTCTCGCCCATTTCGTCAAACAAGTCCCGAGCTAGCCTCTTTGGGCATACGCGGCGATCATGGTATTCCACGAAGAAGCGTATTTCCTTGGTACAAACTTCTCGCCGTGTCCATATGCCCTCTCTGGGTATACGTCGCGATCATAGTGGCGTCTCACGTAAGTGGCGATGATCAAGAGGCTCCTGTGACAATGCCTTCTCTAGCGTACTTGAGGCTTGCCATACATTTCGATCAGCAGGAAACCGTACCGTTTTTGTCAAGGCTTCTCTTCTAACAAGTTTTTGGAGCCGCCACACTTTCGGAGAGGGGGAGCGTTCGTGAGGACTGATCGAGATCATATGAGAGCTGGAACATAACGCTGTTAACCTCTAACGAGGTAACTGGAAAATTTACAGGCTCTTCACAGCATCCATCTCTTCCCTATGTAGAAGCCGAGGCCAACTCCAACCAAAGACAGAGATCCAAGCCGCCAGCGAACTCCCCACGATTTTTTCTCTGGGACTTCAAGTAGAGCATCGACCTGCAAAAGGGCATCAGCACTAGAAAAATGCGAAGGCTAATAAACAACACACCTCGATAGGTGGTTTGGTCCAGTTGGCAATGATCCCTGAAACGTGACCTTTGCCGACAACCGCAACAACGGAGGCGTATTTGCTGCACGCGCTTCTCAGCGTTGAAGTCATGAATCTGCCCAAGGAAACCGAGCGAATAAGAGTTAAGAAGCGTCAGACGAACTTACAAGTCTCTTTCCGTCAGGAGAGCGTCCAGAAGCGTGGGAAAATTCTTGCAATATTCTCTCAGGAATTTTACAAATTCATCGGTGTCGGTGAGCTCCGTTAGCTGAAGCAAAGTGTTAAAGAGAACTGCTCTATAGGGAAAACGAAGACTTGACAAACCATTTTCTCGAGTTCCTCAGCCCCCGGTAGGCGAATTATACTCCAGAGTAAAGTCCCGCCCAGCTTCATCTTTTGCCAGAGTGTCAACCTCGCCACAGCTCGTTTCAGCGAAATCTAAAACGAACAAGTCACTCCACTGACGGAATGCCATGCGCACTACGTACCGAAGCAGGCCGGTCCCCGAGAATAACAAGCGCATTGCAAGCGCGTCCGATTTCATAAGCTCTTCGAAATTCACCCCCCGGTGGAACTTCCAGCCTTTGAGCAGCCTGAAAACCTGTAGTTTTGAAGTGATGTACACTTACGAGGAAGGATACCTTTGCGAGGAAGTACGAATAAATGATTCCAAAGGAATTCATTTTCTTTGATCTCCACGACTCTAGCATCTGCTTTACTGTGGGAATCTGAAAATTCAACGGAGGAATACAAAATAGAATACTCATCCATAACAATCCATAAAGACGTACTCCATTTGTTGTTTTCAAAAGCAAAGAGCATCGTTCTCTGCACAACTCAAGAAAAACTGCCTGTTCACGAAAAGAAGTCAGATAGAGTCTGTGGAACAAAAAGTGAAGAAAGCTAGCCTCTGGTTTGACGAGCTTGATCACGGCTTCAACGAGATCGCACGACTCCTGTAATTGTTTTTCATGAATTTCATGAAACAAGAAAGGAAAAAGAAAGAATGCCATGCAGCCCAAAGGAAGAAAACTAATAAGCTCGAGAAACACTTGCCTTAGAAATATGCGCTGTGCCGACCATATAGACCGTAGACTCAAGGCCGGTCTCTCCCGAAATGTGATGAATGACTTCCACAGATTTTCTCATCTTCTCAGGCAACTCGCGGAGAGCTTCCTCTTCTTCTCCCTCTTCTTCTTTTCCTTGTGCTTCTTCTCCTTCTTCTTCGCCCCTTCGATCCTCCTGTTCCTCCGGCCCGGCGTGATTCTCAGTCTTCTCCGTCTCTACTGAATCGTCGACACGAACCAATCGATCGCTTCCGGGATCCACCTTAAAATTCTCCAAGCGATCCGGCTGGAATGCGGGGGGAGGAGCATCACAGACCTTCGCCGCGGCGTCTCCCGTCGTGCTCTCCGCCATGCTCCGCCCTAAAACCTCAGTCAATAATGCGCTAAAGTTACCTTAACAATGCGACGAATTATACTTTAAAGCTTTGGTCAAGCCCAAAAAATTTGATATCTTCCCAATGTTAGACCTTGTCATGGAAATCGATCCTAGTCTCTTCCGAAAGTCCAATTCTTTTTAATTTTTGGCAGAAATTGAGGAATGCTCACTAAAGAAAAAGAAAAAACGGAAAAGTATTACATCGAGTCCAGAAAAAAAGAAGCTGTTTATATATACCTTGCTCGATGTGAGATGGATTGTGGCTACTGGCAGTGAACGATGTGGCGCATTGGCAGAAATCGTCCAGACATCCCTGTGCTTTTCACTCTGGAAAGAAGAAAAAAGAGAGTCGATCAAGCTATGGATCACCAAGAACATATCTTACGGGATGAGAGGGAATGGTAAGAACGAGAGAGATAGAGTGGAGTCGATCAATCTATGACCACGAAGAGCTCTTACCGGAGAGGGTATGAGCACGACAGAGATTGGAAAGAAGAAGAGAGAGAGAGAGAGTGGAGGCTCGATCAATCTATCACCAAGAAGGAGAGATCTTACCGGAGAGGGTATGAGCACGAGGAAGAGGAGTATCTTGGGGACGCCATTGAAGTTGGGCTTTGTGAAGCTTAGGCAGTTATTGACGGAGGTGCTGAAGAAGAACTTGTCGAGATTTGTGAGCACCAATCCCTCGTGCAGGATGCCATCGATGTTTATCTCGGGCGTGCCGTGGAACATGAATCTGACCAGATCCATCCCTGATCCACGCAATAGAAGCGAAAGCAGGAGTGAGAAAGGAAATTTTAGGCAAGAAAGGAAGAAGAAGAGCGTACGATAGCATATTGGATCGATCGAGCGAGGGAACACGCTACCTGGACGGTCATCGCCGAAGAGCCTCTGGCACTCGCGGCGGAAGCCAGTGTAGGGCGCGTAATCGGCTTGTTGCAAGCCGGGATTCATCTCCACGGTGTAGTTGTAGCAGCTGATCATCCAGGAGACCCTGGAGCGCACGAAATCCGGATCCAGGAAGGCCGCGAGCCAGTATCTGTCCTCCGACGCTGCCACATTGTGAAGCGCTGCCGGTGCTTCCTTCTGGCGAGCAAAGACGGGGCAAAGATCACGAAATTTCGAAAGATTTCCAGCGATCCTGGACCGGAGAAGCGGAAATTCACCGGATTTACCTCGCGAAGCCGGCCCAGCCCTGGAATCGACGCGCAAGCCCCCATTCTACCCTAGCCAAGCTTCTCCGTGAAATTCATTCAAATACAATGGAAGGCGCTTAAAACCCAGAGGTTCCTTCGAATATGCGGATGCTCTTGATTCCTAGAATATGCTTTTTACATGTTCTTCCTTCTTGGCATTAGAAATGCTTAGTTTGTGAGTCTGGTTTTATGCCATTTTACACTTAAACTTCCAAGTTTCGATGTGAAAGCATTGGACCGGTCTTGACGCCGCCGCCTTTGTTCTTCCTTTGTTTCATCGCTGCTGGGCTTAGCTGCTCCTCTCGCTCGCGCAGCTCTTCTCCTCACTAGAAATCGCCACACTAGAGCTTCGAGCTTGGTGGTTTAACCCTCCTTTAGTTCAAGTAAATTTCCATTTTACACTTAAAAGCTTCGACGTGAAAGACCTCCATCAGAGACTGCATCTTTCTCAGAGATGGCAAGCTTCGTGACATTGTCCCTCCACATTTGGCCTGCTTCTCCCATCATATCCTTCACTGCCTTGTCAACGATCGTGGCATCTGGACTCGGTGGCAAGCGAGAGCCGATCTTCCAATGCTCCACAGCGAGCGCACAGTTAAGTGGCTGGTCGTACAAGAAAGGCCATCCAATCACGGGGACTCCAAGCACGAACGATCGTCTCCAAAAGAGAATTTCATCCACAATGAGTGAGAAACGCACCCACGGAACGATGCTTGAGAATCTGTGTGGACGACATATTAAGCAGGTAAAAGAAGAAGCTTACCTTGAGTTGAGGAGCCCAGAAAACAAACTTGCATTTGTCATAACTTGGATCTTAGAAAAGTTTTCGAAGCTCATTGTTGTCTGATCGTATCACCCAGGCTTCCAAAGGAGACGTAGATGACTGATTTGGACGGCTGCTCGTCCAGCCAGTCGAGGCAGCTCATATCTTCCATCCAAAAACCACACCTCTCCTGCTCGAGTTCGTACACTCCAACCTGCCCGTCGAATGCAAATGACGGAAGCAATGAACCGATTGGAAGAAACTGTGGTGTGTCTCTAGCAAGTTGGTCGAGCTGAGATGTTTCGTAGAAAGAGTTTATAAACACCGGTATACCCGAGAGTGAAGTTGGGATCTACGGTGTGAACTTCTTGAAGATGCAAAGGAAATTCCCATTCAGAAATTGGAGGGAGGCCGGGTACGAAATCTATGATCCTCGAAGGAATAATAAAAACTCAAGTGGAATAGATTAAGAAGTACCTTTTAGCGGCAGGAGTCCATTTTCCTTGAGCACAAGAAGACCATTCTGGATGCTAAGCCACGAAGCAGAAAATGTTGAAAGAGTCACCTTGCAAATCAGGAACTGGCGAGCGACGCCTTGAAGGCTAGTAATTGCTATGTCGATGAGTATGCAAGACACTCTGGGCAGAGAATCATCTGCCATGATATCTCAAATAATCTTGGGCACTGCCAGTTTGAGATTCTTCTCCAAGATAGCAGCAAACTGGAGCAGAACCGTAGTGACGGAGAAGGCTTCTGGAATGAAGGCATCCGGTAAGTAGACAAATCTCAAGTGCTGACCAGTAGCTTGTTGCTCAGTAGCTATAAAAGCCTCCTTTTTGTTTGAGATTAAGAAAGTGATGAAAAATCCATTGATGAAAAATCCATATAAAATCAAATTTATTCTATCTCAATTGCATTCTCTTCTTGCCATGTCATTGTCATCCACCAGTCAACGTCCCTTAGAACCTTCAACACTTACCTTTTCATCTTCTTGTATTAGGTAATATGCTAATTATAATACTATATTGAGATTAAATTTAATTTATCCATTCTTATATATATGATAATAGATTTATTAATTGGGGTTTATTACTTACCATTTCCATCTACTTTTGGTAAAACAAATGGCAATGCAATGTAGTTTCTTCTTTAATAGTGAAGAGCAATGAAGTTTAGGACTTAAAATTTTCTATCATGATTTTCAGGTATATATGAAAAATCTAGCAAGAGCTTAGAGATTATGTTAAGGCATAAGACTTTTTGATCTTTAGTAGGAAATTATATGGTAGTTCTAATAGTTAGACTGCTTTTCTTACTTGCACGATACATCTATTGGTTATTATTTAATTAGCAACTTCAAGAACAAATAGTCTAACCTTTCTTTTTAACATATTATTGTCTATTAATACATGAGTTTTTATTTTTCCAGTTGAGTTGGGGTCCCTACTAGTAATAATAATATGGGAAGGTATGCAAAAGTTTTGCAAACTAAAGAAGAATTATTATTCGAGGACACTTTATAAATTAATGTACAAATATTAAGAATTGAACTAAAATATCTTATAGATCAGATTTTGTAAAAGATGGAGAAAAGATTAAAATCTTCATATGGGTTCAAAGAAAAAATAATACAATCTTTATTTACTTTATGAAATCTACTAATATATGCTTAATTTTACTAATCATACCCAAAAACATTTGTTGTGAACTACCCCCACCTTTAAAGCTAATACCTTGAATGAAAGTTATTATTATTAACGAAAATATTCTTACATTCAAGATGTGTGGTTTTTGAATCATATTTGTTTTTATTAAATTTATTATTTAGTGTTTCAAATAATAACATTTCAACATATATTTATATCTTTTTCCCAATCCAATTAAACTTTTTTATTAGTAACTAAAGAGAAATTTAGACAAATATATTCATATTTTGTTCACTTGTAAGTTAAATATATATTTAGATGAGCTTACTAATAATTTATTTTCTTTTGATTTACTTTAACTCATTTAAAAGCAAAATTGACTACTTACTTTATAAACTTACAATTGAAAGTGCATTATTAGTTAAGGTTTTCTAAAGCAAATTAAAAATTATAATTATGTATTTGACATGAAAACTCACTAGTTTTATTTTTAAAGTAGACTATTATTATTTCCATGGATATGGATTTAAATCTAGATCATCAAAAATAATATAACCATTATTTATTCTATGTGTTCTACCAGTATATGCCCAATTTTGCCAACCATACCATGAATCTTTTGTTATAAATTCTCCTTCACCTCTGAATGTTACACCTTGAAACTTAATAGAGTTAATTAAAATATCTTTGCATTCTTGGTATATTTTTCTATCATAATATTTTTTATCAAATTGATCATTTAATTTTTCTCTCCAAATAATAGAATTACCATATAAATTACAGCTATTTAGAGCATTTAGCATATCTGGTTTCCAATCAACTAAAAACAAAATTGCTAGAAATGAAAAAAAATCAATTATATACATACTTGGTTTACTTGTTAAGTTGAATAAATTTGCTGATGAGCTGACTAATATAATTTTAATTAAAAGAATAAAAATAATTACTAATTTAGTTGCCATTGTATATGCTATAATTTAATTCTGAAAAATTCAGTTTAAATACTGAATAGTCAAACTTCTTTTTCTGAGTTTCCAATTTCTTTTTCAGAGTTTTCAATGAAGTCAAGTAAAATTAAATAAATTAATTCTCTCCTATATCCTAAGCATAACGTATATTTTTACAAAAAAAAATAAAAAAATGAGTCAATTTTATATTTTTTCTGCCATAAATCACAAGCTTGCTGTTGGTTTTCCAACGCTGTGCTCCATTTTCGCCCTCAATGCCTTCCTCCTCGCTAGAAAACCTCTTGCTGCTGCTTGTATTCTCGTGGCTGCGGTGACGCGTGATGACTCCTCGTGCTGCTCAACTTGCTGTATGGTTCGTTTTGCTACAAATCTCGCAGCTCGTTGTATCTTTGTTGCTGCGATGTGGTTTTGCCCCGGTGTGG